CAAATGGCTCGCTGGCCGCGAGTTTGAGAACCCTAAATTAGATTTTTATTTATTAATATTTACGATTATCTCATTTTTATAAAAAGAATGTAAATATTTATATTTTCCCACATCATTTTCGATGTAAGCAGAATGTAGGCGGGAAAAAATTTCAAAATATCTTAATATTTCATTTTCGGTTTCGGCTTCGGTTTCGGCCGAAATTCATTTTTAACTTTCGGCTTTTCTTCGGTTTCGGCCGAAAGTCATTTTTAAACTTTCGGCCTTTTTTCGGTTTCGGCGGAAAGTCATTTTAAACTTTCGGCCTATTTTCGGCTTCGGCCGAAATCAGAAAATCACTTTCGGTCGGTCTCTACTGTAGAGGGATTTTTATAAGGGGCGTGCAGAGATTTGTGACGTTATATTTAAGGAGGGTCTAACGTTTTGTGACGATGGGGAGAGAGGTGAAATATCTGCAAAATTTGCGTGGGATGGCTCCTTAGACAAATTTTGAGCCTCTCAACCTGCCAGTGAGTAGACTTACCTACAGAGGAAGTTCATAACATAGTAAGAGTCACATTAGGAATAACTCATAGTCGTACTAATGATACTACTTAAACTCTTTAACATTCGCTTAGGCTAAGCTTATGTTATCATAAGCAAATTGGTATTAAACAACAATTGATTAATGTTTGCAAGGAAATAAGGTAATGAAAGATGCAGATGTTTCATATTTTTTAAAGACAATATTATTACCACAAGGTTTTCTCTTTAACTTTGATTAATTAGGAGGTATATAATTATCAAATTATTAAACATTGTATTGTAATTTTGTTCCCTTTTTGCACTGTGATGTACAGCAATGATGTTTAACAATTATTAAAAAGGCTACTTGTGTTATGGCGTACCAAGATTTTTTTAAAAAAAATATTCAGGCTTCAAATATTTAGACAAATTTTTTTTAATGGAGTTGTGACAGTGCATGTTATTTACTTAACTAAATAAGAAAACCTTTTTAATTTGAAGTTTGCGGCCAAAGATTTAGAAAGACAGGCCAAGCGGTCAGAGAAAGCTGAGAAAGAGGAGAAGGTTAAACTGAAAAAGGTAAAACTTTTTTTTTTCATTCTTCTGATCTTTGTTTTCGCAAGGGACCTGTACCCATTCTTATTCTCTTTTTTCATTTTTAGATATAGATAGGATATACATATTTTTGTAAATTTATGTTGTTTTTTTTACTGATGAAGGCATTTGCCAAAGCATTTGAATTTGTATTTTGTAGAATCATAATTAAAGCTTGCCATATATTGTTTTATGTAAAACAAATGGTTTGGGTTTCATTAATCTACTGAAGAAGGTATGTGCATATATATTATACATATATTGTAATATACATTAAATAGAAAATTATATAAATGTTTTAAGACAGATACCAGCATTTTTGAGTGAATTATATATGTATGATGTAATACAGATGTTACTGAGTGAATTATATATATATATATGTTGCAATACAGATGTTATTAGATCTTTTTTTTTTACAGAAAACTATTTCTTACCTATATTAAATTGTGTTTTACTCATGCTACTCTTGAAAATATTATCTGCCATTATATTTTACACTAAAAATTAAAATTTTAGAAAGAAAGTTATCACTTTTTAAAATATTATCTTACTTTTCTTAGTTAAATATCATTTAATTGATTTGATTGCAGGCGATTCAAAAGGGAAATTTAGAAGGTGCAAAAATTCATGCAGAGAATTCAATTAGACAAAAAAACCAAGCTCTTAACTATAGAAGAATGAGTGCTAGAATTGATGCTGTTGCTGCACGTGTTCAAACAGCAGTAACAACTCGCCAGGTTACAAATTCAATGGCTGGTGTTGTAAAATCAATGGAGGCTGCAATGAAATCCATGAATCTTGAAAAGGTAAGAAATGACATTCATATTTAAGAAAAATATGGTCATTTTGATACAATGTGAGACAAA